TCTCCCCTCTCCCTCATTCAATCCCTACCTATCTCCACTCACCCTCCTTCCCCCTCTCTCTCCCCATCTCTCCCGCCATCCCCCTATCTCTCTATACCCACCTACCCTTCCACCCCCTCCCCCCCTCCTCCTTATTCCTACTTATAAATCCATATATACACCCCAGTTCACACTAACATTATCCACAATCCCCAGTGTCTTGCTCTGAGCAGCGCAGCCTACAACCCAATCATCTACGCCTTCCTCAACCAAAAGTTCCGGACCAACTTCAAATCCCTCCTTCTCCGACGACGAGGACAAGTCGCCCCTCTGGTCAGCGAGCGGGCAGCAATCAAGTACACCAAACAAGGCAACAAACCTCTAATCCTTGGCCCAACAGCACAATCAAATGAAGCAAAAACGCAGACTACGCAGGAAACGATGGCGATGTTCACAACCACACAAAATGCGACTGTCAGTAGCAGCACTTACGGCCGATCGCGTTATGGTGTAGACACTATGAACACTACCACCACCACCGCATTTTGATGAGCTGAAGGAGACCCAAACATCTCCCGTGTAGCATTATTTCATCCCTTCACCAGAGTTCTGAAAATAAAAATGCCAAAACGAAAGGCACCAGGCTTCTTTGTCTGTTTCTTTCTTTTTATCTTTTTTTTTCTTTCTTTCTTTCACTTTTTTTCTCTTCACGCCTCCATCGACACAATTTAAAACATTTAGGAGGCAGGCTTTGACGTGTCAAGGTCAACCCAAGCTGCGAGATATACAATGACCTTGTTGAAAAATCGAGATACTCGATAAAAGTTCTCCCCGCAGAGGAATTGAACTCAGGTTTTTTTTAGTGCAACTGCGAGGCGCCTAACCACAGCTCCACAGACACCGATACGTTTGATATGATGGAACGGCAATATTTGATGATAAACTCATGCGTACCATTCCAGTCTTGCTCGAGAAATCCAAGCAAAACCGATAAGAAAAGAGTACCAAAAAAAAACCCCAAAAAAACCCAACAGTAAAAGAGCGACAACAAGAAATCAGCATTTCTTTAACAAGGCCTAGTCTACGATCTTTGATAAGATCTATTTATTGTTCTCATTTGAATTGACGCCTTAGTAAGAATTAGGGTTAAAACTCCCTGCGTTCGTTGACTGACCTTCCGTAGGGCAACATTAAAGTAAATTGGTCGCTTTTAATTAAGGACAAGCGGGCTAACCCAGATTTCGGGGTTATCCAGAAATATTGACCTACACCAAAAGCGGACATTGCTCTACCTATAAGAGAAGTTTGGTTCCATTGGTGTTCATATTTGTTTGGTTATAGAGAAAACTCTCCTTGTCTTTTAAAGAAACTGAACTGGGAGCAAAAACTTTACCTTCGATTTTCTAAAATACAGCCTTTTTCGGGATAGCCCCATTGTGCTTAAAAGCGACCAATTATGATGCCATCTTTATTACATACCATCAACGATCCTATTCAACAACAACAGCAACAAACAAAAAATCAAATTAAAATTTTTAAACTCAACTGCACACCAATTTGGCTTACGGTTCGGAAAGGACAATAATTGTCTAGTGGTTGTTTGAGAGAGGCCCGGATGCAATAATAATAATAATAATCATGATAGGTGTTACATTATTATTTTATCACGGTAAACTCGGGGTGAAGAACTAAAATATTAGTTTCTATTTTCGAGCGATAATAAGTTTCTTTTGGTTTATAATATTATTCGACTGAAGTCTGCGTCACTAGCGTTAATGGTTTTATGTTTTAGGCCCCTTTTGTCGACCCACTTCAGATCATTAAGGTTGACCCTGTTTCTCTGTGCCAGCCTGTGCTTACTTACGTTCATTTGAGCATGCGTTTTTTGACACGATCAAAGCAACATACACAGCCAAAACATCTATCATATAAAAGTGGACTTGAGAGGCTTTGTGCACTAACTCCTCCCTTATTACATAACCCACATCTTTGAAACGTTGCAGGCGTCCACAGCATCCATGTGACTAGGACCTAACTTTAAAAAAATCCACGCAAACTGGTTTCCCCGATTTTTCCAAAATGCTTTGTTTCGTCCACACAGGGTTAACAATCTTGGGAAAGTCCGTCTTCTAAGACGCCATTGTAAACAAGTGAGGTTTCCGCTCACTAGCCATGCGTTGCTTACACACCTTTGAAATTTTGGAGTGTACAACCACGAAAGTAGAATAGAGAATCAATCTATACGTCTATTATATGGCAACTTGGAAACACATGTGTCACTTTTCTCACAAGAATTATTGCTCCTTTCCAGTAGAGTGTAATTATAGTAGGCCAATGACTTTCAGTTGATGTTAATGCGCCGACCATTCCTTTCATCGAAAGGGGGCCCATTTAGTAAACAATAAAAGGAAAAAATAAAAGAAGAAAGGGTACTTTCAGAAGCCCATTCAAACCATCCGCTCTAGTCATTTCGTGCGAAGAAAAAATTAAAACAGACTTTTTTATGTAGACGTTTTACGCCCCCATCAACTTTATTAAGATAATTAAGAAAGCAGGCTGCTTCGACCCTGTTTGTCGGGGCCAACCTGGGTCGACAGAGATACAACGTCCCATCAAACAGACGGAGACACTCGATAAAAATTCTCCCCACATGGGAATCAAACTCATGTGTTCTGCGTGCAACGGTGGAGCCTCTAACTACTGCAAAACGGACGCCGGTTCAGACAGAAAAAACTGTGGGAAAAGAAAGAAATAAGATCTACCAGTGGCTTTCTCCAATCACATGTTCAAAGATTTTTATTAGAGAGAGAGACAAATGATAGGATTATATTATAAGTTTCAGTTTATTCATTATGAAAAAAAGAGAAGAAATGCATTTGACACCATAGAAACTGTATAGTTAGTAGACAAAGAAATAGAAAGACAAAAAGAAAAGAAGGAAAGAAAATACCAGTGGCGCCCTTCAACCAACTGGATACTGTGGGGTACCATTCCTAAGTATCCATAGGTTTCAGGAAATTAAACTCGCATGAAAGGACACCCTCACTTTCATATAATACAGAACTTTTTTTTAAAAGTGACAGTAGACTGACATAACGCCCTCACGGAAAATCTCTCTCTTTTTTAAAGTAGGTCTTTTACGCCCTTATTGACATAACTTAGATTCTTTACTAGGCGAACTTCGAGCCTGCCTATAAGGGAAAACCTGGGTTGAGAGGGATACACGTCTTCGCAGAAAGACGAAGACACTCGTTAAAGAACACCCCCCACCCCCCCCCCCCCCAACACACACACACATGGGAAACAAACTCTGGCAGGGGGCTCTCGTGGCCCAGAGGTAAGGTGTTCGCCTCTCAATTAAAGGTTCCAGGTTCGAATCCGGTTGAGGGTGGGGGGGGGGGGGTGTTGGTATGATTTTCAATAAAATAATTGGAACATTATTTTGCTTTTGTAGAAGCAGAATATTTCAGTACAAATATGTTTACTTAGACCATTGCTAGCCATCCAGTTGGACTTTAATGTACAATGACTCATTTGAAGAAATTTCAGTACGGTACATGATCATATTATTACATGTACTATGTATTAAGGGTTTAATTGGGTTTGAGTGCAGGTTTTTAAAAAAGTCAACTCTAAAACTACCACCTAGTGCTGTGAAAGAATAAGACAGACAGACAAACGGACAGACAGACAGACAGACAGACAGACAGACAGACAGACAGACAGACAGACAGACAGACAGACAGACAGACAGACAGACAGACAGACAGAAACTACCCAGTGGCGCTCTCCAACCACCCGCACAATATTATATCAAGGGAAGCAGTGTAAGTATTTGCAATTTACTAGTAGGGCCTATCTATAAGACAATTAGGGTCATGATGTGGGATTTATTACTTTGAGTAAAGAGAAGCGCACATCAACACAACATCAGTCATTTAGTGGTATAGAAAAGCGAGAAAGACCTACAGAAACAAAAGAGGGGAAAGAAAAGAAGGTGGTTCTTCAAGTGGCGCCTTTCAACCACCCCCACAATAATGGAGTGACGTCTTAGTAGTGGTGCAAACATGTTGCAGTGACAAATCAGTACATATATCCTGAGTTTGATCGTCAGTAAATTTGAATGATTGTATATCAAGGCAATTAATACCATTCAAGAGGCTTAATATTACTTTTATGCAACTTCGATCCTGCCAGCCGCGGCCAATCCGGACTGACTGAGAAAAGTGTAGTCTGGAGTATTATTCTGCCCTCACTGGCTGAGAGGGATGCCAGGTCATTGCATAAAAACGGAGATACTCAATACAATTCCACCCCACACGGGAACCAAACCCTCATTTCAAGCTCGCAACGACGAAGTGTTTAACCTCTACACCCACAGACGCCTGTCTCTGGTTAGGGCATATCTGTTTATTGTGTGTAGTGTTAAGAATAATAATTATACTTTTTTAGGGCTCTATCGACACAATGATGGTCATTTGGTCAGGCTACTTGCCAATTCCTAAAACCGGGTCTGGTGGACTAAAAGCATCAATCAGGACAATATTATCATTTTTTTCCCCATTCTTGACCTCGGCCGGAGTTAATAATTTCACCGACAGGAATACGGTCGAGTTTCAGAATGTCATGTTCAAGGGCAAACGTGTACTATAATATTTTAGTACCAGTCTAAGAATAGACCTGATTTTAATTATTTCCGTATTTTCTGTTTCTCAAAACAAGAGCGGAAGTGAACTGCACTCTACTAAGCGTAAAGCCTAGCCATCGAGAAAGGTTCTGAGAACATATTATTGTAAAAATAATTTTGAAAGTGATTAAATATTTTTCGTAGAGCTCTTTTATTTTTTTCACAAAGTGGACAAAAAGATAATAATATTTTAAATTTTATTTGCAAAGAGAGTTCGTTTGTTTTTCGATAAAACTTTTTAATAGGGCCTAAGGTTTGAGACATGCGCACTGCGGCATTCTTCTGTTTCAGGAAAGAAGCTTGTTTTGGTTTTACTTGGCTACCGCGTCAAGATGGCACACCTGCAGATAAAAGAAGGAGAGTTTACCTCAACGATATACGGCTTTGTAAGGAATAATGACAATAATAAACTTGGATCTTACATAATGTTTAGCGTTTATGTTTGTGACGACAGGGGTGTAATTGGAATTTATGAGTATGATGGCACTGGGAGATCTAATGGATGGTGTCGTGTTACTGTCGGTGTTTGTACTGTTAGTCGTTGTAGTGTGAGAACTTAGACTTTTTGAGTTCTAATTTAGCCTGTCTTATTATAGATCTAGACCTAGATATCTATACAAAGTACTAATGAACATGAAAGTTCAGTGGTGTACCACATAGATGTCGCAGGGAATTATTCATTTTCAAAGAGGATCATTATGCCCCAGACAGGCTAGAAAAAAGTGTCAGAGCTAGGAGACTTGACGGCGATTGTGTAGATTTCCGCGTTAAATTCCGATACTAGTTTTAATCGGCCTATAAGCCCTAAATCTAGAACTTACCATTAAACAGAGTAATCCAATCTAAAAATTAAATCCAATACAGAATATTGCCAAAAATGTTAAACAGAGTAATAAAATCAAATCCAATACAGATTGCCAAAAATGTTTTCCTTAAATTGTTGCTTCCACATATATTCTTGTAAATATATGAATAAAAGAGTTTGTCAGATGTCCCGTGTAGTATCGGAATTTAACGCGGAAATCTACACAATCGCTGACTTGACTCACTGACGGCATTCTCCGTTTTTGACCCCAAGAATACTGTACTCTTTAACAATGTCTGGACGGTGGCAGGGTCCGGTAGTCGAGGTCCGTAACCATGGCTGGACGGTATCACCGTCCGTTACGAAGTTATTATTGTATTATGGTACAGGCGAATATAAAAAGTACGAGAAGCCTTTAAAAATAGTTTGAAGTGGAAGTAAAAGATAAATGAATTCTTCGTCTAGGCAATGTTTTATTGATCAGTTTGACATAAATCAAGCGGTTTTAAAAACGTAATATATCGGGTCGCATTTCCTCAAACACGAGAGAATTACGCGGAAACGTGATTGTTTTATTTTTTTTGCATAGAGAGTTTAAAAAGAGTTAAATATTCAGTACCGATGTTTTATCCCCAGAAGAGAGTGATAGATTCGCTGCTATTGTTCAGTACGAGATGAGCAGTAATATTTCACTTGCTTGTAACAAGGGGCATGCCCCCCTGAATTTAACTTTAACCTCTATTTGATGTTTTGCAAGGTTTGATTGATATCTCGCTTGGCATGCATCATGTCGAAAAGTAATCAGTTAGAACCAGAAGTAATCGTTGGTGGAGCCAAAACCCATACTCCATAGAGTTAATCTACCATTGGATTATACCGACTTGTCTTAGGTTTGGATATTATTATTAAAGATTTGAAAAAATAATGGTGCTGGTAATTATAATCGTCAGTTTTAGCCCATTTTCTGTGCATTCATTATTTTTCTCTTAAAAAATGAAATGTTTACTATATCTAATTGTTGGTATGTTTTAGACTTTTACTCTCCCATCAACAAAGTTTACATCAATTAAGAAGCTGGCTGCCTGTCAGGGCCAGCCCAGGCTGTGAGGGATACAGTGTCCCAGCAGACAGAGATGTAACTCAAATAAATTTTAAATAAAAAACCCTCCCCATTACATTGAAATCGTACACTTTTTGCGTGTGACAGCAAAGTGCCTATTATTGCCTCATGACAGTAATTTATGTTTAAATTTTGTCTTTGTATGTTTGTTTGTGTTTATTTCAGTATAAAATTATTTGTTTACCAGTTGTAAATGTGAGAGAAGAGAAGATTATTTATTATATTTTATAAAGAAAGAAAAAGTAAGAAATTGAAAGAGACAAAACTGTATTGCCTTATCATTTATATCCATCTACTTTTTAAAAAATACCTCATCAGTTCATATTTTTGTCCTCATTCCTGTGATTTTGTACTTCTCTTTATTTCGTTTGCAGATTAAAGATCAAAGATTCAATGAAGCCGTTCAGTTACTTAACCATCAGCTTCAAGGTGAAACAAAGGTAATGCCATTGTTTGTGGTTGGTAAGGGAAGCCAAAAATATGGGGTATGAGGATACTGAGTATTTAGAATGAAAGAAGCATTTTTAATGAATTTTGAGTGTTTTGAAATAAAAATTAAAAATTATAATTTTTAAAAAATATTTTTTTTGGTGGTATCAGTTTTTCTAAGCCTTTTTCTGCTGCTATTGAGTGAAATAATTGCCTTTTTAAAAAATCAAATTTGATTTAAATTTTCTTGCTTGGACATCACTTGGTTAGTTTTTATGATTTTTTTTTTTCATTTTAGATTTGAAGGGATGGTGAAAAATGTAAATTTTCCTTTTGTTGCACATGATCCTTAACCCTATGACTGTCAGTGGTAAACTTGCACTGTGTCAGGAGGAAGTCTTAGGAACAAGAGTGCGCCTTTAGATGTAAGAAATGGAGTACATATTATGATTATAAATACAAAGACCAGAAATTTGGTATTGGAAACCAACTGGAAAAAGAAAAAGAGGAAGACCAGCTGGAAGCTGTAGAGGCACACTCAATCACCCAGGGCATGGATTTGCTGAAATTGGAAGACGTGGCCAGAGACAGACAAGCGTGGCGTCAACTGCTCTCAGCCTTATGTACCTGACGGTTAAGGGGGCGAGTAGTTGTAGTTTAATATTTGGTCGCTTTTTAGGACAAGCGGGTTAACCCAGATTTCAGGAATTTCCAGAAATCATGATCTACTCCAAAAGTGGACTTTGACCTATCGGAGAAGTTTGGTTTCACTGGTTTGTTTGGTTATAGAGAAAACTCTCCTTTTCTTTTAAAGAAACTGAACAAGGGACAAAAACTTTACCTTCTTAAGACAGCATTTTTCGGGATAGCCCCCTTGTGCTCTAAAGCGACCATATAGAGAACTCTTTGAAAAAGCTGTTATAACATATGCTGAAAAAAAATTTTAATTCACGATTTCGACTATTTAGCAAGTTCATGTGACAAGGTTTTATTTGAGCATTATATATATTATATATGTCATGTATACTGTTTATGTAGATGCCTAGACTACTTACTTTTGGTTACTTGTTTACTGGAATATGAGTAGAAGCATGGTAAGGATAATGATTTCTATTATGTCTATAACATTATTTTTATTTTTCAGAGCAGAGCAGCCCTTTCGCTGTTAGCTTATTGCTACTATCAGGTGCAAGACTTTGTGAATGCCTCTGACTGCTATGAGCAGTTGGCCTCTGCCCACCCAGAGGTTGAGGAGTACAAACTTCACTATGCCCAGTCCCTACACAAGGCTTGTTTGTATCAGGAGGCCATGAAGGTGGCTTGCCAGATAGACAACCCAAACTATCAGGGCCAGGTAGGTGGAGTGTATTTTGGAATAATTAGGACGGAAATTCCTAGTGGAATGATTGTAATACTTTTGAGCGAGCATGACCATATTGGAGAGGAGAAGGAGTAGGAGTCAGTTTTTTTAAATTTTTTTAGATTTTTAAATTTATCTTCTAATGTATTTATCTATTTATTTATTTTAAATTTTCTTTCTTTTTTGGGGGGGATGGGGGTGGTATTGTTGTGTGTGTGGTTTGTGGGGGGGGGGGTTCTTTTGCTCTTATTTATTTTTTTCTCTGACAAGGTTTATTTGTTTATTTTCCACCTTCACGATCCATACATGGTTGAAAGACCTATCTGTCAACTGGAACCCTTTGCCGTTTTTTAAACAAAATTTATTAAGGACTGGTGGATTCTTGTTTTTAGAATTTGTTCACTTACATGATTTTTCATTATGTTCTCGTTCCCACAGTATTTTGATTTTGATTTTCTTGAAAACTGATTTCAGATAACCAAGTTGCAAGCTGCAATTAAATATGGAGAGGAAGATTTACCAGGAGCAAAGGTTAGTGACTAAAATGCGCTTTGAGAGTAAGTCAAGTGTTTTCTTTTCATCAGAGGCATGATTTTTTAGAAAAGGTTATTATTGTTTTTGTTCACCTGACAGAGAGTGATTTCTTTTATGAAAGGTTTAGATTTAACTGCTTAGATTCATGTTTTTTCAATTTAGGACTTGTTATAAGCTGTGCTGCCTGTAGAAAGGATAGAACTATTAGTTGCTCATTGATTTCTTTTGGATGCTGGTCCTTGGATAAGTTGTTGGAAGTAAAAACAATTTGTTTTATCATTTTTTCAAAGTTAGTTCTTGCAATGTTGTGTGTGCATGAGCAAAAATATTCCATCAATAAAACATAATTTTTCAAGTGACTGTATTGTTCCCGATTTCTATTTCAGAGCCTTGTTGAGCAGTGCCCTGCTGATGATGCGGACACTGAAATCAACTTTGGCTGCTTACTTTTCAAGGTGAGTCTTGGAATTGCTAAGAGAAATACAGCTTGCCAATTCACTATTATTTTCAGCTTTATACCATTTTGCCTCTGTACCCTGTTCTTTTGAATGGACATGAAGGTGAGTGGGGAAGGGATGGGAAAAGGTAACTTTATCCTCATTATTCATAGATAACTCTTTTTTGCTCTGATTTTAACTAAATTTGACCTTACTGATTTGCTTGTTCTTTCTTTGATAAAATTGCTATCTTTTTATTACAGTTAAAGTGTAATTAAAAGAGACAGAAGGGCCTTTCACAAGGAATGTTTTCCTCTTTAAGAGAATTTTGTTGAGGTTTGATATATTCTCCTGGTAAGCAACCAACATTCTGTTTTAAGAGTTACACAAATGTGCCAGTGTTTTCACGATTCACGTTCTTGCTTTCGCCTGTTCTCCATCTTTCCTCCCTTAAATTATGAATGACTAAAATGCATGCCAACATGATTGATGGAACAAAATGCAGTAAAAGTTTCCTCTCACAGGACTTTATTGTTCATCATTGAATATCTTACTTCTCTATCAGGAAAAACGTTACGAGGAGGCGTGCGAGAAGTTCATGGGAGCTTTGCAAGTCCTGGGGTACAAAGCTGACCTGTCCTACAACATTGCTCTGTGCCACTACATGCTGAAACAGTACGCTCCTGCACTGAAACACATTGCTGACATCATTGAGAGGGGAATCAGAGAACATCCAGGTGGGCTCCCGTTGTCAGCTTAAAGAGTTAAAGAACTTTTTGTTTATAGGCTATCAGACTGGTAATTTTGAGGTTGTGGGTTCAAAGCTCAGTTCTGTCTAAATTGTGTCCTTGGGAGAGGCCTTTGACACGAATTTCCCCATTTGGCTCATTCCCATAGGAGATGGACGTTAATTTCAGAGGTCTGGCCTCTTAAATTACCTCATAGTGTTGCAAGAGACGTTAAATCCTTACAATTTTTGTTTGTTTGTTTAAGAAACTATTTAGATTAAATTTTACTGAGATTTTTGTGGCACTTGTTACCCAAATAAGTAACATTAATGCCAAAAAATAGAGTTGTTATCACTAGAGAGTAACATACAAAGAAAAGCAGGAGAGATAAGGACGATAAAGTTTGATAGAGAAGAAGGAGCAAATGGCACCAGAGCACCCGTCAACCACCCACCTAATGTTTACCTGATGTGATTACTTGCAGAGCTCAGTGTTGGAATGACGACTGAGGGCATTGATGTCCGCAGTGTCGGCAACTCCATGACGCTCCACGAGACAGCGTTGGTGGAGGCATTCAACTTGAAGGCAGCAATGGAATACCAGCTGAAGAATTGTAAGTTCTGGTCTTAGTGTTTGAGTCGTTTTACGAATTCTTGTGAGTATTATTTCTCTCAATAAATGATGGAGTTATCATAATATGTTGACTTCTTTATTTCACTAGTTACTTTGGATATTCCTATTTTTGTTTATGGCTTGTTGTTTTGGTTTTCTTTTCGATGTCCTTGATTTTTTTTAACACTTTCTAAGGGGGGGGGGGGGGGGGGATTCATGATTCATTTAGAGATTGTTTTTTCGGGGGGGGTTTTCTTACTTTTTTTCTTTCCTACTTTCAAAATTTCCAAGATATGAGAGGGATCTATACTATACTAACACTGATGTCAAAACTTCTGTTGTGATGCCTGCTTATATTGTGATTTGTGTGTGTGTGTGTGACCAGATGAAGCCTCAGTAGAAGCCCTGACAGACATGCCTCCCAGGTCAGAGGAGGAGCTGGACGCTGTCAGTCTACACAACCAGGCACTCATGAACATGGAGGGCAATCCCACACAGGGCTTTACAAAGATGCAGTTCTTGCTACAGCAGAATCCTTTCCCTCCAGAGACCTTTGGCAACCTCCTGCTGTTGTATGTAAAGTATGAGGTGAGTATATAATGTTCAATAAAACCTTGATAGTGCAAACTTGACAGGTTCAGAGAATTTTTTTTGTGTTTGGATTTTGTGCTAAGGGCAGTAGAAATGTATTGAATAAAGAGGAAGAAAAAAGGGATTTAAAATTCTTTTGTGGTAACAGGAATTTCGAGTTTAATGGCTTTTGTTAAGCAAAGTTGACTGTATACTTTTATCATTAGTCTCTGAGTGTTGTGAATCAATTCATGCACTCCTTTGCCAATGTTGGGTTAGTTGCTCTGATGCAGTAAATAAACAAAATGATTCTAATCCATTCATTACCTTTTTGTTCTCTTTCAGTACTATGACCTCGCAGCTGATGTTCTTGCAGAAAATGCTCACCTCACATACAAGTTCCTTACCCCAGTGAGTTTTGTTGTGTTTGATTTATTGTGAATAGGTAAAAGTACAGTACATCACATTAACATGAAATAAACTCTTATTTCGGATTTGTTCAGATTTCTGTTTTAGTAAAATGTTTCTTAAGTCATAATAGACTTTAGCTCAAATTTAGCACAGACGTCCTGTGGAACGTGTTTCTATAAAACATGATTGTTAATTTTATTTTTGTGAATATCTTTTGTTCAACTTTGCGTACATAGATTAGTAAACAAGTCCTGCTCCTTAAGAAATGAATGGTGAATTGTTTTTGAAGGCTGCAGTAATTTGTTGGGTGCCCTAAAAATTTAGTTAATTGAAAACTTTTGGCAGAAACTCGACATAGTTTTCTGCTATCTGTAAGATATAGTTTGTAAACCTAATTTGCTCGCCTCTGTCCAAGGATGCTATAGCTCTGAGTGATTTCTGCTATCTGTAAGATATAGTTTGTAAACCTAATTTGCTTGCCTCTGTCCAAGGATGCTATAGCTCTGATTGCTACATACTTCTCATAACATTGATGTTCTTTTGTCTGTTTGGTTTAACGATAACCCACAAAATGTTTTTATTGGTTTTGCATGTCTGCATTTTATTTTCTGTGGTCTTTTTTTCTCTTCTTTAATTTGATCATTTGTGCTGTTTTAATTTTTCAGTACATGTATGACTTTTTGGAAGCAGTAATCACGAGGCAGACATCTCCAGAAGAAGCATACAGGAAACTTGATGAAATGGCCACGAAACAGACAGAGACGTTAAGAAAGCTCACCAAACAGGTCAGAATGAGCATGTGTGATTTGTTAAAATTATGAGTGGGGTTATTTTGTGAATGCTGGCTTTTGTCTCCACAATTATTTATGTAGCTGAAATGGGATTTTGGCTTCTAAAAGATACTGGCCATTGAGGAATACAGTCAATAAAGGAAGATGAGAATTATTTATGACACTACAAGACCAAAGAAAAGATGATGGTAAAATATTGCAGTAAGATATTTTCAGAGTCAAAATCCATACCAAGGAGTACAATGAAAGATAAGACTGGGCCATTTATAGCTACTATTTCTGTACCCGAAACACAGATTTTGAGCTAATGGGTTCAAATTCTTTATCGACATTTTTGATTGAACTATATAGCATATTTTTTTCAGGTTTATACACTTTTGGATAAGACACACTATTCATGTGAGTAAGCTGTGTTTCAATGAAATTGAGAATATTTTGAAATTTCCTTTCAGGTACAAGAATCTCGGCAGAACCACGATGAGGAGGCGGTCAAAAGAGCTGTGAATGAGTATGATGAAGCCTTGGAAAGGTTTGTAGGGATTTGCTTGTCTATTTTTCTCCTTCAACAGTTTCCTTTTCTATTGTTTTTATCAATTCCTATTTGGAGCGTTATTTCTAATTAATGCTTCCAGTTTTCGCAGTATGTGTGGCAACGTATTGAAATCATGTGCTCGTCGAAATCATAGAAACTGGTCTTTCTCGGCCCATTGAGCAATTTTTGCCTTATTTTTTTTTTTAGCTCAACACCTTTTATGTCCATTTCAGGTCAGGTTTCTGAATGGATTTTACAAAAAAAAATTTGATGAAAGCCAGAATTGTAAATGTAAATTTGTAGTTTCCAAGGATGCTGGAGCTTAGGAAGTCTCCATGTTGACAAACACCTTGTCTACTTTGTCTCCCATAGGTACATCCCAATCTTGATGCAGCAAGCAAAGATCTACTGGGACATGGAGAACTACCTTCAAGTGGAAAAGATCTTCCGTAAATCGGTGGAATTCTGTAACGAGCACGACGCTTGGAAGCTGAATGTGGCACACGTTCTCTTCATGCAGGAAAACAAGTACAAGGAGTCTGCTGGCTTCTATGAGCCAATTGTGAAAAAGAACTATGAGAATGTAAGTCCGTCTCAAGTTCCTTTAATATTTCTTCCCTTCTTTTTCCATATTGCTTTTATCATCAATTATCAGATTCTTTGCAAATGAAAAACATATTTATTGGTGTTGATTTTACTGGAAATTCTGTTCTCATACCCAGACACTCTTGTTTGTGGGTGGTTGGCGGGTGGTCTGATGTGGTTTACCTCTTCTTTGTTACTAAACATCTACCGTCCTTATCTCTACTTCTCCTCCTTTTCTTCCTTTGTTACTCTCAAGCAACTCCTCTAATCTTTGGCATTTATATGACCTATCTCTTTGTGTTGCACGTGCTGTAAAACTCTTACTAAAATCAAACACTTTTTTTTTCACAGCTGCTCAGCGTCAGTGCAATCGTGTTAGCCAACCTGTGTGTCTCCTACATCATGACCAGTCAGAATGAGGAGGTGAGTGTTTAGCCTTTGTTGTAGCCAACAATCATTTTGGTGAAAATTGCAGGGTTATGAATTTTTATTTTTTAGGTATGTCACCATCAAAGTTTTTTTTTTTTAAAGATGTTATATTGCAAATATGATGGGTCTAACTTGCGTGTTATTTATTTCAACATATGGAGGTAATTTGTGACAAATTTCAAATCCTCAAGATTATAATCTAAGCTTTACTACGGTATCCAAAATTTTAAAAATCGGTCTATGGACAAAGAAACTGATCTGCGAGCTCCTTAATAATGGACTGATTATGAGTTGCTCAGACTTTTCTTTTGACTGATTTACAATTTCATGGATATGTACTGTACGTAGTTATTATTTCTTGAGTTTGTTCTAAGTAACGTGTATTGTCTGCCATATTTTTTTTAACAGTGCGATGCTAAATGGTATTTTGCAATTTTGCTGAAACTCTGAGGTTGTCTAATAATATAGGATTTTTCAATTGTGCAGAGCCCTCTACTTTTGGGTTTTGTTACACAATCTTCCTTTTTTTTTGTTATTCACAGGCAGAAGAGCTGATGAGAAAGATTGAAAAAGAAGAGGAGCAAGTGGCCTATGAAGACCCTGACAAGAAAATATACCACCTGTGTATTGTCAACCTGGTCATTGGGTATGCTGAGATGATATTTTCTTCTTCCTTTTCGTTTAATTAATGTCTTTTTTAAGGTTCCTTAAAGCAGCTTGTACAAGGTGTGGACAATGACCTAGTGCCCCAAGCACCTGTGTATGAGATGTTTGTGTATAAGTAAGGAGGATAATAATGGTCATTTGGTACTGGGCAAAGTAAGACAGACAGTCAGAAACAAAAGAGAAAGAAAAGAAGAAGAACCTACCAGTAGCACCCTTCAATGTTCCACCCTTTGTATGAAATGAAAAAAGGAACTTCGCTAAATGTGTTTATGTCAATTGTTAAAGGTAATTATGTTTATGGTGTTTTTTTGACCAGCTAGTGGTTTTTAGAAGCTGAAGCAACTTTTTAAAATCCAGTGGCTATAAGATTTGGCTGCATGAAACCATGAGAAATGATGCTGGGAAAAGGTCCTGTTGGATACATTATTGTGAATTAGATTCTGAACATTTGGTTGATGAGAGAAAATGTTTTTTACCCCCTGCATGAACCTACCCCCACCCCTACTCTGTGTAATTTTACATTTCTCTGGGTAGCTATTTTGAAAACTTGTTTTTCTCTGCCTCTTGTATGTGGTATGACTTGAAGTTAATGCTAGATTGTGGAATCAGTATGTTGGATTTTCTTAGCTTTTCCAGTAGTTAAGTGAATTTCCGACCTTTCTGCAATAAAGCACTGGCCCGTTCCTATTCTTCCTGCCTGAGTTTTTTAAATTCCAAGCCAGGTTTGTTTGTAATGTTCCCATTTTCAGCATATTAGGACTCCACCTTCCTCTTTTTCCATCTACTTAGAAAGAAAAAAAGTGCCCTCTTTCATTACTTTCAGTAAAACAGCTGCAAATCTCTGTTGTATTGAGTGATGGTTTGTGCTTTTTAAACAAATTTTGTTTCCCAAAGTAAGCACAAGTTAGGCATCTCCCATGTAACTGTCCAATAGAGTATTGGGTTTGTCTTCTTTTTTTTTCTTTTCCCTAGAACCCTGTTCTGTGCCAAAGGCAACTACGTGTTTGGCATCTCTCCTGTAAGCTGTCCTATAGAGAATATATATTTTTAAAATCTCTGTTCACCAGAACCTTGTACTGTGCCAAAGGCAACTACGAGTTCGGCATCTCTCGGGTCATCAAGAGCCTGGAGCCGTACAACAAGAAGCTGGGCACAGACACCTGGTTCTATGCCAAGCGCTGCTTCCTGTCCCTCATCGAGAACATGACCAAGCACATGATCATGATCCGAGACTCGGTGATCAACGAGTGCATCCAGTTCCTGGAGTGCTGTGAAAGTAAGTCCCTGCGGAGGTTTTTTGTTGTTATTGTTGTTGTTGTTTTTTAATATGAAAGTGTTTTTATGCTCTCATCCTTACAATTTACATAATTTAGGAAACAGTTTTTGACCATGCCTGCAAGGGCCAACCCTGGCTGAGAGGAATAATATAAGAGAAAGACCGACATACTCAATAAAAATTCTACCCTCATGAGAATCAAACTTGGGTCTTCTGTTTGCGATGGGGAAGCACATAATCACTACACCACAGATGCTAGTCTGTAGAGTTTTGAGCATCGTCTATCTTTAATTCTTTCATGTCTCGACTCTCGTCATACAAGAGGGGTTCCCAAGTTTGTGCCGTGCCATGCTAGTGTGTTGTAAAGCTGACAGGTTGAATGTGGTTTTGAGAGAGGCATGTTACCAGACTTGTTTTATCAAATAGAGTAGACATGCTATATATCAAAATAAAGATTTAAAAAATAAAATACAAGATTGTGGCAGGAAAAAAAATATAGATTTACAGAGTATGAGTTGGTAATGTGTATTTGTTTAAAAATTTGAATTTGATAATCATACCAATGATAAGTTTTAACAAACAAATAATGTTACTGATTTACTTCTATTGTACCTCTGGGGAAGCTGACTAAAGCAAATACTGTCTATCATCATCATTGCCTTTCTCTCCCTGGATCAGAATATATAGACCACAAACAAACACTTTCCACCTTTCCCTATCCTGGGCTAGTCACTTGATGTCACTCCATATCTTCCCACTTTTCTGTACTTCCATTTCCGTAAATATTATCTTAACTCCTGTGGTAATATACAGTTGCTTCTGCTTCTTCCAGTGTACGGACGTGACGTCAAGGCCATCATTGAACAACCCCTGGAAGAGGAGCCAATGCACCCAGGCAGAAACACCGTCGCTTTCGAGGCCCGACTTCTCAAGTCTCTTCTGTTGCAACTGAATTAACTTATTATACATTTAGAATTATCATTGCTTAGGGGTGCATGTATACCAAGTTTCATGTTACAATCCCTGGTTGCATATTTTATACATTTTAGCCTGAAGAGAAGGAGATTTTCGGAGGTTTATGAAGAAGAGGTTTTGTTTTCTTATAAGTGGAAGAAAAATGTTGTGAGATAAACCAATATGTTAGCAGTCATCCCCAGTACACAAGCTCATATAAAGACTTTTTGATTAATAAGAGTTTGTTTTTGTGGAGATTTCTGTAAAGCTAATGTCAAGTAAAATCATATTTATATCAAACTTAGTTTCTTTTCTGAGGTGGGAGGCATGGTACTGCAGTGGAAATTATTTCTGTAGCTAGGATTTTACATGTGTAAGCTGTGAGAATATATGACAATACATTCGTTCTTTAGTTATTTTCTCCAAAATGACTCCTGATGGTTTTCATTGTTAGAGAGAAAAAAAATCCACCAGCACTTAAGATTATACGAATTGTAAACACATTCTTTGAGGTATGTCTACATCATATCTTTTGAAGTCCGTCCATGGTATTTGAAGTTACGTTCCTGATTCTGACTGTGATAAATACATGTATTTCCTGAAGTCTTTTTTTTTTTTACATTGACTACAAAGTTTGTAATGACTTCAGAATAAATGTTATAACTATACTGAACCGTTACAGTGTTTTCATTAGTCTTTGTGAAAATTGTGATATTTGTCTGGTACACCTGAAGTTTTGCTGCTTTGTGTTATACTAAGCGATATGACTATAGTAGAACAATTCCCTGGACTCCTGGTCTCTTTCACGTTATTTGTTCATTACTCTTGAGAAATGCGTTACAGAAATGTCAATGACCTCATGGTTGGTGGTGCTAATCTCTTTCCCTTTTTTTAAAACTAATTTTGAAAACAATTTTTTTGTGCATAGTTGGTTTTGTCAGTGACCATTACAGTCTTGAGATACAGATTCTCATGCTTTCTTTAGAAAAAAAACAAAAACAATAAAAACCCCAAAGAAACAACATTATAACGAATAAAATTTTATTGGACACGCATACATCAAAGTATCACTTTGTAGAAGGAAAAATAAATTTGTACATAAAAATCAACTGTAAAGGTTGTTTCAAAAATGAATAAAATTCATATTTTAAGAGAGAGCAGTAAAGTAAACGAATAATAATGTAAACTTGTATATATGTATATGTTTTAAAAATTATTGTATATTCCAGCAGAAAGGATAAAAATATAACTTGAGGAGGAAGGATCCGATGCTTGACGTTACAACAATATAATCATTATGCTTTATCACAACAAAGAGAGTATTCTTAAACTCGATGCTAAATATGTATACAGTAAAACCCTGATAACATATAAACTTCACAAGCAGTGAATTTCCTTTTGTTAAAAGCAAATTTCATATTTCAGGAAGTTGCAATGCATGGTAGAAAGCGTAGAAAATAAAATTTGGTTTGAAATCCTTTTATGGTGACGAATGTTGTTTAACACAGCTTTGTGTTAACCCTATCCATAGGCCTGGGGTCATTTTGTACCCCAGGGTTTTCATTCTTCACATTTTAGAATACTTCTAGGGCGAAGCTCTCTTTGAAACTTTCAGTATTTCTCAAAATATCATTTTGACAGACTGCTGTGCAAAGCGTACGGATCAGATTAACGAGTAAATTTCCTCTTTGGAAAGTGGTGGCACAGAGTTCCCCCTGTCGTATGGATACGATAGTAAAACATGACGTATGGATAGAGTTAAGCAGAGCCTACTGTACTTTTCTCTTTCAGCTTGAGCTCCCCCCTTCCCCCTCCCCATTTTGCCTGAGCACTGAGAGGGCTAAATAGGCTCTTCTTACATTCTTGAACCTAAAACCAGAATAAATCTGGTCTGAATATAAGACAATGCTGCACATCAGAATGTGGAGTGCTGGATGAAAAATGCGAGAAAAGACACTGTAGTAATTTTTACATGCAAATAATGAAACAAACTCGGAGAAAGCAAAGTAAAGAACGGCAGAGCACAGCATAACAACGCATTAAGGAATGAAAACAAACACAATTTTGATCTGTCTTCTTGGAATTGTGAGGCACAGCCCCTCACACTGAGAATAACATTTCTAATTCTAATATTTCAGTTTACTGATCACTCTATGAGGACCAGTATCAATAAATGGAACACAAATATCCATCTCATGAGCATGTACAATCATGGTCTTCTGCATGGTACAATCCATATTATATATATTATGTAAATCCATAAATGCTAATTTTTTAAAGAAAATGGACCCAGGCAGGCACTATGCCTCCCTTTATAAAAAAAAAAAACACCCTAAAAAACAAATCCACATTTTGAATAAATTTACAATGTAACTTAATGATATCCTGATTTTTTCTTAAACTAGGAAAACCATCACATGAATTCAGCATTTATACACTTTCTTACTCTTGAAAAGTAAATGAATGGAGCAGAAGTTCAGTTTACACAAGACTAGCTAATGTTCTGCTTTTTATTTCGTGAATCATGTATCTTGCATCTTTTTAGAAAATATATAGGTTATTTTTAAGCCCCCATCAACACAATTTAGCCCATTTAGGAGGCAGGCTTTAACCCTGCCTGTCCGGGCCAACCCAGGCTGAGAGGGATACAACATCCCAGCAGAAAGTTGAGTAACACCCAAAAACTTGAGAAATATTCTGCCAGCTCGAGAATTGAAGTCGGTTCTCCAGCGTTTGACAGTGAAGCACCTAACTACTACACCGCAGATGCTATGGTATCTTGCACCAAGCCACGCTGAAGAATAACACAGAGTTGAAGTAGAAGCTGAATTTCCCAAAATGAAATCCGAGAATACATGGATACATGCACTTCTAGGGAAAAATGGTTAGGGAAACTACAGATCACTCTTGGACGGCAATTCTTTTCATACATCATGTGTTGCCAGCACTAATTTTTACAATTCATCATGTCCTTCTGCAATCGGTCTGGGCATTTTGAAATTACGGCCTGGCATGACAGTGAAACCGTGGGACTCTGAATCAAAGTGTAAAATCGCATCCTGCAGAGAAAAAGAAAAAAGAAACAACAATGAAATGTGAGGGTGTCAGGGAAGTTGCAGGGTGTCTTTCTTTCATCTTATTTTTCACTTTTACCAGTCTAATTAACCCTTTTGATATAAAGCTTTTTGCTTTCCCTGGTATTGTGCAAATCTGTGATGTACCAGTTACCGCAATATGGGATTGAAGGGGCATAAATTAACATTTAAAAATCAGCTTGTCTTGTAGCTTTGGACATGATACAACATTTTTTTTTTAAAGCATGCGTTATGTTTTTACTGGGGTAACCTCTTAATTCACCCAGATGCTGTTTTCTTTTAATACCAGTACATATTATGATAAATAGAGAGTTAGTGAAACCAAGCCACAAATTTGCAGACATGTCACCCATGGACCTGGTACTTCTTTGATAAGTTTTGCCCTTCTGGACAATCTGCCATAGCACGGCAATTTTTTTCCTTTTCACTGGCCATTTGGTTCTTTCAAAATTTTACTTCATTCTTGGATCGAAAGGTCATATCATGACATTCTCCTTAGCATGCTTCAAAGACTACAGTGGTTGAGAAATAATTGTAGCACAGCATAACGGTCGACTTCGTTGAAATGGTGATTCCTCTCTGTGACTGTTTCCACATAGATCACAGCAGCATCAGTCCTGAGCAATGATCTTTAGTTTTTTCTGTATTCAGCATACGCTTTTTCTCTATGACTGTGCACAAATTAACAGTTTGGGACAACTAAAATATGTAATGACATCAGCACAGAAGATAAGAACTTACCTCTTTATCTTCATGAGGCTTTATCTTGTGCGAGATACCAGCACAGAGACGAGTCACATCAAGACAAAAGTGCTGCACAAACTCCAAATACGTAGATCTCTTGGACTGGCTGAAGTACTTGACCAGTTCTCTTTTCAGCTCATCTCCATGTTTTTCTAAAAGAAAATAGGAAAGGCAAGAATGAAAATAAATATTTGGATTAAACATAATGTTCAAGTAAGTAGATAAGTATGGGATTAACACCCCTTTCAACACTATTTGGAGTTATGTAAGAGGTGAGACCTCCAAATTTAACACCCGTCTCTGATAGAACCGAGCCAATTGGGTTGAGAGCCTTGAAAACTCAAAAAAATAACCCAAATTCAAGAACACCCAGCCTGGGATTCGAAACAAGATCATCCGTTTTGTAGTCCAGCATGATACCAACTGAGATAACGGAGCACCCATAATAATGGTACAGACAGGAAGTAAACATACCAAAGAAAACAACGGAAGTAAACTCATTCTAAATAATAATAAAAAGTTGAATGTGATAACAAAATTTTTATATTTTTACCAAATTTAGTAAGATTATAAGGAAAAAATAAGAATTCATTGCATTATTGTACCAAAGCTTATCGACTTTGCATTTTAACTGCATACCAATATAGGTTTTTTTATGAATAACATCTTTCGAAGACTCAAATACAATTGTAAATTATACTAAAACGCTTGTAATAAAAGAGATGAAAGAACATAATCTACCACAAAAAACAGAGTGAAAAAAATATTTGCCAACATATACAACTGAGACAGTGAGAGCTTCTAAGTAACACAACCAAAAAACTGCCCCAAAAATTTTACTTTTCTAAAACTTACTTTTGATGAACTCGCAGACCTTCACAATCCTCTGTGGCTTGTACTCTGAAATGCTGAATCTATGTTCCTCGCAAACCTTCTCTAAAGCTTTCATTACTCTTGACTCAGTGTTTCCTGTGTCTCTGATGAGCATCTGATCCAAAACTGGAAACAATTCAAAAGAACGTCAAATGTACTGTACAGCTTGAAAAGTACATACACAAAGGAAAAGAGTGTACAGCACTGGAGGAATTCTGACGAATGAGAAGACTGTGGGAAAGTGGGTTTATATAAAGGCATGAATGAAAAATGTAATAGGCCTACAGTTTGTCTGAAAGAAATCAAGTATAACACGCTAAGAACTTTCCAGTGTATGTCATATACTTCTTCCTACTACCGATCTGTTATTCCTGACAATCATCTTGCCTTACATTCAATTTGAAAAAAACAAAAACAACTAAAACACCCAAATTCCAATAAATGCTGGAAATACAGTTAAGTTTATAAAATTAATAATAGCATTTGTATAGTGCAAATTCCCGCTCAACAGCAAACTCTGTGCTTCACAATCTATACTATTACCCCAGCAGATTTGAGACCATTCTGAAACAACCTTAACTTCCTGGGAAGCATACAGAGCAAGCAGCCTATTATAATTATAGGTGCTAATTACGCTAACATACTGACAAGATCTTTCACCATCTATGGCGGGTACCCATTCCCACCTGGGTGAAGTGAGGAAAATTCGTGTAAAGTGCCTTTCCCAAGGACACAATATCGGGCCCGTGGCTCGAACCCCCAAACCCGCAACCTCACGATTACGAGTCCTGTAGCCTAACCACTAGGCCACCGACAAAACAATGGACAAAACAATGGATTTTTAAAAACTGTTAGAAATCTGGGTTACCTTTCACAGTCAGCTCACATCCACTGCACCGCAATTCTGGAAATAGAATAAAACAAAAATAATTTGTAGGTAAAGTAAGTGCCCCAGAGACAGTCGAAACACAAGAGTTTTATATTAAAAACAAAAAAGGGCTTAACACTTATCGAAAGATGTTATAACGGTTCCAAGTACTGTTGACATGTAGGCCAGCTTTAAAACAGCTCAGTCCCAAGAAAATTGTCATATAACTCAAGTCCTTGGTTAAAGCTCAGGCCTACAGTTTTTATCTTCAACTCCCATGTTCGGCAAATTATATAAAACTCATAAAATGAAGGGTGTCTGAGCTGAATATGGGCAAGAAAATATATTCATGTGAAGTCCTTATATCTACCTAGTCAATCTTAAGGCCTCTTTCCAAAAAAACTGTCTATGTTTTGTTAGGTTATTGTTAACGTTATTATTATTATTGTTATTATTATTGTTAGATATTATTATTCTATTAAAATTCTAAGTCTATCCACAAGATTCCATATTATACAACATTATAATTATAATTATTCATCTAGATTCTAACTGCAGGCTCTTAAACTTCGTTTATGCTCAACAAAAGAAGACAAAATATAAAAAAATATTTATATTATTAAATAATTGTTGGTGCATGGTTTAGGTAAGTAGCAGGTAGAGTAATAGTAGGGCCTATTAACTGTAGTTTAGTTATATCATACATGATAAATATTACAGTGAAGCAGTTAAATTCGTGAATCACAAATTCACAAATATTTCAGGCTCAGGCTTTTCTTACCTTTAGGCATTTCCTTGTAAAATGCATTGTCCCCAGCGATGAACGGACATAAGTACACTAGTAAAAGTATTAGGGGCAAATTCACAATCGACTGTCTTGATTGAAAAGCCATGATTGAAAGTAGTAACCAAAGTTGTGGATTTCTTGTGATAACCTGTACGAACGACGGAAGTACACGTAAGCTTTTAGCGTCCTTTTACCGGAAACGTTGTTATGGGTCAGGGTAGGTCATTCCCGAGAGAAATGAACTCTTCTGGCAGTAAAAAGTAAACTATGTTATTTCCCTTGTTCCCTTGTTCAGTGTTTTCAGAAAAGCGAACCTCTCTCTCTCTCTCT